TATATATATATATACATATGAAGTCAATACATTGAGGTCAGTCTTTTGTCAAAAATATGTTCTCCAATTTGTGACTTGTCTTTTTGGTGATATTTGATGTTATCTAAGTCTTACACATTTATTCAAATATTTCTCCTTTTTCTTGGTTTTTTCTTGTATCTGAATGCCTAGGCCTTCCTTTTGGATAACTCAGCTACATTTTCTTCTAGCTCTCTTGTGATTTACTTGTCTAGCTAGCTGCGCTGGGGATTGAACCCTGCACCTCACAACGGTAGGCAGGCACCCTAACACTGAATACATCCCAACCCCTCTTTCATCTGTTTTTAGCTCTTAGGTTTAAGCTCGGTGATGATTTAAATAAATTCTTAGTTTTACCTTTTCACCTAATTTTGCCTGCTTTATTAAATAATTTTCCATTTATCCTTTTCCCTACAAAAGTGAAATGCCACATTTATCATTCAGTGGATTTACAAATATATTTAATCTATCAATTCCCGTGTCAACACTACACTGAGATTTGTTTTGTTGTCCTTGTCGTTGTAGTACTGGGCTCAGGAGCATAGTGCCTTGCCTCCCAGAATGCTGGGATTAAATGCAGGGCCACCATGCCCACACACAGCCAAAGCTGTTAAATGTGACAGTATGTTTTAAGATTTGGTTAAAATACTGATCTACCTCCACATTTCAAAAACTTTAGATTTCTTAATTTTTCTCAAATAGAGTCTCCCTATGAATGTTTGAAGAACTGTCTTTCCCCTCCTCTTCAGGGCCACTTTCAATCTTTGTAATTTCTTCTTTAAGATCCTGCATATTTACTACATTTATTCCTAGGTATTTTACATTCTAAAAGGGCTCACTTTAGGCATGGTAGTAACCTCCTGTAATCCCAGCACTCAGGAGGTCGAGGCCGGAGGATCACTGCGAGTTTGAGGCCAGCCTGGACTACATAACAAGGCTCTCTCAAAAAAAAAAAAAAAAAAAAAAAAAAAACTCAAAAGCTTTTAATGTTAAAAGTGCATTTCAAGGTTCCATTGAAGCTTACCAAAACTGACTTTAATTCCTCCCCCCCCCCAGGCAGGTCTTGTAGAAAACCAGTCAACAACTAAAGGCTTTTTGTAGTATTTACAGACTGTTTGTCTCATGCCTGGCAAAATGAGTATCGTCTTGCACGCATGATCTCATTAAATGACAGTATCTTCAACGAGTTTGTGCTGAAGTTGTTTTCCTATTTTACGTGACCCCAGGCTCTTGACAGCGTGAGAAATTTGCCCCAAATCACCCAGTCGGTAGACAGGTTAGACCCAAATTTGTAAGCCTTCCTAGGTACAGTATTACAAAAATCAGGGCAGCCCCATGCTGGGCCTTAAACTAGGCTCATTCACCAAAGTGCTTTTCTTTTTCTTTTTTCTTTTTGGCAGAACCTGGGATTGAACTCAGGCCCTTGCGCTTGCCAGGGAAGCGCTTATCCCACTGAGCTATCTTCCCACCCGCTTTTATAAAAGAATCAACTGAATTTTTAAAACACCGCTTCCCACCCACGGTTCCGAGAAGACTCGTTCTTCGCCGCCAGGGCAGGGAGCGGATCTAGCTGCGCAGTGCGGGCGCACCACAAACACCCGCAGCATACGAGGGCCCCTTTCCAGCCTGGGACTAGGGAATAACCAACGGGGCTTTCGTGGGAAATGTGGTTTGGAAATCCACCTCCTCCCATCACGCGACAGACTGTAAAACAAAAGGCAAACACAGGTGGAGCGGCGGGCAGGTTGGCCCGCACCCCACCAGCGGGAGAACTTCACGGGGCGCCGCGCCGCGAGCAGGTGGCGCCCGGGCCCCGCACTCCCTGCACCGGCCTGCGGGGTGCCCAGCAGCGCCCCGCGAATCTCTGCAAGGTGAGAGGAAGCTTTCCGCCCAGGGAGGAAAGAGGGCAGGCAGGAAGCGCAGCCAGCGCCAGGCGTAGAAAGGCTTCGGGCTCCCACCCCCCGCCCCGCGAGGCGCGGACGCGAGCGGCGCATGCGCCAGGCCCGGCCCCCCAGTCCCCCCGCGGGGGAGGGAGGGGG